CCGCGGCCCGAGGCGGCCGCCTCCCAGCCGGCCCCGGGGCCGGCGCCGTGGGGTCGCCCACGACCTTTCCCCGTGGGCCGGGAGCCGTGGGTCTTAGGGCAGCATCCTAACACCTCCTCCCCAGAGACTGGGCGCCCCCTACTGGCGCTCGACCGTAGGCCGCTGAATGACCTCCCTGGGGGTCAGTCGGTGAACCGCTGGCTGGAGGGGTTTGACCGCTGGTCCTCGACAGACCCAGCATAGAGTTTAAATTTCTATATTTTTCTTATTGAAATATAATACAGGGTAGACTGGACAAGTTTTTGGTGGACGCATATTTTTCATTTGGATATATACCCTTGTGACTTAATTGATATATAACAAAGTACAGAGCGAACTAATTTTGAGTGTATAGCTCCACACTCATCTAAGTTTTAAAGCCTATTTACAGCAGGTAACATGATACTGTACATAGAGAACCCTAAAGATTCCACCAAAGAACCAGAACTGATCAATGAATTCAGTAAGTAGAATACAAAATAAATATCCAGAAATGAGTTGCATTTTCATACACCGATAGTGAACTATCAGAAAGGGAAACTAAGACAACAATCCTACTTAAAACGGCATTAAAAAATAATAAAATAAAATACGTAGGAATAAATTTAACCAAGGATGTAAAAGACTTGTACTTGGAAAATTATAAGGCACTGAAAAATAAATTGACGAAGATACAAGTAAGTGGAAGCACGTACCATGTTTGTGAACAGGAAGAATTAACATCATTAAAATGTCCATACTACCCAAAGAAATCTATAGATTCAATGCAATTCCTATAAAGCTATCAATGGCATATTTTACAGAACTAGAACAATATTCCAAAAATTTATATGGAACCACAAAAGACCCCAAATAGCTTCAGCAATCTTGAGAAAGAAAAACGAAGTTGGAGGAATCATACTACTTGATATCAAACAATATCAAAACAGCATGGTCCTGGCATAAAAATAGACATAGAGGTTAATGGAATGGAATAGAGAGCCCAGAAATAAACCCACAACTTTATGGTCAATTAATCTATGACAAAGGAGACAAGAACATACAATGGAGTAAAAACGGTATATTCAACAAATGGTGTTGGGAAAATTGGACAGATAGATGCAAAAAAATGAAACTATACCACCTTTTTACACCATACACAAGAATAAACTCAAAATGGATTAAAGAAAGCCCTGGCTGCTGTGGCTCAGTGGACAGAGCATCGGCCAGTGCGCAGAAGGGTCTCAGGTTCCCTTGCAGGTTCAATCCCTGGCCCCATCAAGGTGCTTGAGGGAGGCAACCAATCGATGTGTCTTTCTCACATTGATGTCTCTCTCCCCCCCCCCTCCACTCTCCTAAAAATCAATGGGGGGGAGGGATCCTTGGGTGACGATCAACAAAAACAAACAAACAATTAAAGACTTAAATGTTAGACTCAAAAGCATAAAAATCCTAGAAGAAAACATAGGAAGCCCTAAATGGGTAGTTCAATTAGACTATTGTCCCAACATGCAAAGTTGCAGGCTCGTGCCCAGGTCAGAGCACTTAACAAGAATCAATCAATAAGAGCATAAATAGGTGGAACAACAAATCAATCTCTCTCCCCTAAATTATAAAATTGTACACCTGAAATCTATATAATTTTATTAACCAATGTTACCCGAATAAATTCAATAAAAAATTATTTTTAAAAATATGTAGGAAAAATATATAAATAAATAAAATGTATTTACAGATCCAAAACTCAGAGCATCAATTACAAAGACATTTTGTTGTTGTTGTTGTTAATCCTCTCCCGAGGATATTTTTTCCATTGATTTTTCTAGAGAGAGTGGAAGGGAGGGAGACAGAGAGAGAGAAACATCGNAAAGCTATCAATGGCATATTTTACAGAACTAGAACAATATTCCAAAAATTTATATGGAACCACAAAAGACCCCAAATAGCTTCAGCAATCTTGAGAAAGAAAAACGAAGTTGGAGGAATCATACTACTTGATATCAAACAATATCAAAACAGCATGGTCCTGGCATAAAAATAGACATAGAGGTTAATGGAATGGAATAGAGAGCCCAGAAATAAACCCACAACTTTATGGTCAATTAATCTATGACAAAGGAGACAAGAACATACAATGGAGTAAAAACGGTATATTCAACAAATGGTGTTGGGAAAATTGGACAGATAGATGCAAAAAAATGAAACTATACCACCTTTTTACACCATACACAAGAATAAACTCAAAATGGATTAAAGAAAGCCCTGGCTGCTGTGGCTCAGTGGACAGAGCATCGGCCAGTGCGCAGAAGGGTCTCAGGTTCCCTTGCAGGTTCAATCCCTGGCCCCATCAAGGTGCTTGAGGGAGGCAACCAATCGATGTGTCTTTCTCACATTGATGTCTCTCTCCCCCCCCCCTCCACTCTCCTAAAAATCAATGGGGGGGAGGGATCCTTGGGTGACGATCAACAAAAACAAACAAACAATTAAAGACTTAAATGTTAGACTCAAAAGCATAAAAATCCTAGAAGAAAACATAGGAAGCCCTAAATGGGTAGTTCAATTAGACTATTGTCCCAACATGCAAAGTTGCAGGCTCGTGCCCAGGTCAGAGCACTTAACAAGAATCAATCAATAAGAGCATAAATAGGTGGAACAACAAATCAATCTCTCTCCCCTAAATTATAAAATTGTACACCTGAAATCTATATAATTTTATTAACCAATGTTACCCGAATAAATTCAATAAAAAATTATTTTTAAAAATATGTAGGAAAAATATATAAATAAATAAAATGTATTTACAGATCCAAAACTCAGAGCATCAATTACAAAGACATTTTGTTGTTGTTGTTGTTAATCCTCTCCCGAGGATATTTTTTCCATTGATTTTTCTAGAGAGAGTGGAAGGGAGGGAGACAGAGAGAGAGAAACATCGATGTGAGAGACACATCAATTGATTGGTTGCCTCCCACACTCACCCAACCAGGCAGACAGGGCCCAGACCAGTTGAGATGGAGCCTGCAACCAACATACGGGTCATTGACTAGAATCAGAATCGGAATCAAACCCAAGACCCTTCAGTCCACAGGCTGCCGCTCTAACCACTGAGCCAAACCGGCTAGGGCTACTAAGACATTTTTAAAAGGGAAAATTATTTCCTCATTCAACAAAATGCAGTTTTAAATTTTCCTGCTTTCCTCCTCATAAACTTTACAGATGCACCATTTCCCCCTTCTTTAGTACTGCATAGTACACATTTTTTCATGTTACTAAACTGATTGTTGTTGGTGTTCTTAACTGAGGAACAATTTATATATAGTAAAAATCACACTTTTTCATCAATAGTGTGACATCCACATATAGTTGTGCAACTGCCACCACATTCAAGATATAAAATATTTGCATTACCCTCTTTGTAGTCAATGGGATTGTTTCAATGGTTCCTAAAAGGGATTCTTTGCCTTTAAAGGAGGGAAAGTTGATCCCTAACAAAGGAAATATTATCTAATCACAAAACAGGCGCTACGAACCCTGGTTTTAACTTTCTGTGCAAGGGGATAAACTCAGTGCAGCCTATAAGGGTTCATAGGTGTCTAACTTGCGTGCAGCTCCTCAAACGGTTAATTGCCTGGCGTTTCCAGCAATGGAGATGGAGCCTCTTTATTTTACTTCATTAAACTGCAGCGGCTAAAGAAGAAAGACTAAAACATTTAAATCACTGATATTAGGAAGATGTGATATCCAGAGATCCAGATATAACCTGGGCAATGGTGAAAACAACACAGAAACCCTGGGACAATCGGGGTCTTTCTGGAAAGAACTAGGGGTTGTGTCCCATCCCCTGAGTAAAGAAGAGCCAGGATTCCTACACATAAAGAAAAGTTGTTCTCTAAGGGGAGAAGGCAAGATCCTGGCTCAGTGTGGGCTGCAATTTGCCTCCTGACAAAGAGCAGAGCTTCTGGCTACAATTTGTTCTAGGGTCTGGAAAAAGCCTGTTTGAATGAAACCCGAATGGATGGCAACTTTCCAAACTACAAAGCAATGGAAGAAAAGCCCTCGGTGCCCCAGAGCACTCACTTCCCTGCAATCCCCGCTTCTTTATTTCACAGGCTATAAAGGCTGATGTAGAGTCGGCTTTGAATGG